GGGCTTCCTAGAAAGATGAGGGGATAGAAATTTTTTAACCAAATATGAAGTAAAAATTAAATAAAAAAAAAAATTAATCAGTTCAGTCTTACATGTTAACAATACCTGTTCTCTTACATTAATTTTACCAGACCTCACAACAATAAAGAAAGTAATCACAAATAAAATCCTAAAAGAGAAGAAAAAGACCAAAGATGGGATTAAAGTTTCATAGTTTTAAAGATCTGAGGGAAAAAATATCTGCTGTTAAAGTAAACATATACACATATTTCTCTGTGTTCATTTTTTTCTAAGTCTACTCTCACTGTCTGTCTATATAATTCCCTGTCACAGCTTTGCAGCTGGTCCCTACTGAGGCTTAAGCAGCCTCCTCTCTGTGTTTCCATTTAAAAATCTTTATTTCAATAGGTGGGCACAGAGCATCTGCACTTCCAAAATTACCACATAACTGATCCAAAATGATTGAAACAAAATTGGTTTCAAAAATTGTCCTTAGGCTGAAAAGAAGATAAAGGCTAACATTTCAGACCTAAAGAAACATTTATCACAATTCTGTGGTCTGTAATAGACTTCTGTGGTCAGTAATAGCAACGTTGACAGCTTGTTAATTACAGAAATGCTAGTGGGCATCACTGTTATTCTTTTGAAAGACTTGACAAAAGAGTTCGGAGCTTTTTTCCATAAACCAAGCCTTACTGAGGTAACACCTCAAATCCAATCTCTTCTTCCCCAGAGGCTGGATTCCCTTCCATTTTGCTGCTAGTATAAATGTGCTGACTCAGAGAAGGGTCATCAAGTAATCTGAGTCCAACAGTTCCCACCCCTCAAAGAAGACAATGAAGGCCCCACAGCCATAGTTGAAAGTCAGGGGCTTGCAAGGGCACACTACCTGACAAGGCTAGAATAGTTTAAATAGTTTAAATCTTTCTGAGATTCTCAGACATCTTGCTCTATGAGAGTCACAGCAGGAAACAGCATTTAGTAGGCACCAATAAATATTTTCATGTGATTCAGGTCCTTTGTCTTTAAATTCAATTAGGATTAAACCATCTTCCTTAGATAGGGTAAACAAAGTAACCAGGTACACAAGTGTAATGGTTTTAGGTGTGAATTTGTGTTTTAAACCTATCTCTGTCACTAAGTGGTTGTATAATATTTCATTTATATTATTTAATCTCTTCATTCTTCATATTTTGACTCATTTGGCAATAACTGCCAATCGTTGTTGTCTGTTCCACCAATTACTCAGAAAATACAAATCTCACCATGACAGAAACCACTTTCCCCATAGATATTTATGGTAGGCTTAAGAATACGCACTTATTCCAAGTATCACTTACAATGAATATTAAGAAGCAACAAAACTGTAGTAGGTTCTTGGGAAAAGATTTTGTTGTGTGGCCTAGGTCTAAGAATCATAAGTGCATTGAATCTTTTTGAAAGCACTTTATTTCCCCAAAAATTGAATTTTGTATACGTATGCTTTGTTGATATTTTGAGATCCTTTGAAGCAGTTTCTCTACTTTGACACTATTAACATTTTGTTGTGTGTACTGGGGAGTGGGGAGAGGGCAGTTATCCTATTCATTTTAAGATGCTTAGCAGCATCTCTGGCCTTCACCATTAAATGTCAGACAAAACTGTCTCCAGATATTTTCAAGTATCTTCTGGGGGTTGCAAAATTGTCCCCAGTCGGGAATCAATGCTTTGAAGGGTAAAATGCCATATGATTAGATTTTAAAATATATGTATAATGCAATTAAAATATATATTTCCTACAAACCAACTGATCAACTGAGAATTTAGAGTAACAATTGGAGTTTAATGACTCTCTAATTTTACAGTATGCGGGATGGAATTATTAATTATTATGCATATAGTAAGAGTTCTGGTGTGGTGCTGCAGGATAAGGCACTGGACAGCAAGATTGCTTTGAATCGTAAGGTCGGCAGTTCAAACACACCAGCTCCTCTTCGGAAACGCTAAACATGGTTGACTTTGAGTCAGAACCAACTCAATGGCACTTAACAATAACAGCGCACATATAACATGTATAATTAATACATGCATGTGATACTCACAATTTAATGTAAATAATGTTTTGCTTATTCCAGAGGATATTAAACAAATTTCTAGTCCTTCATTTTATTAAATTTTAAGATGTCTATGTATATGTCAAAGGAGCTCTGGTAATGTAGTAGTTATGAATCAGGCTGCAAACTGCAAGGCCAGCAGTTAAAAACTACCAGCTGTTCCACAGGAGAAAGATGAGGCTTTCTGCTCCCATAAAGATTTACAGCCTCAGAAACCCTGTACAGGGTCACTATGAGTCAGAACCGACTCCACGGCACATAACAACAACAACATTATATGTCAGAAAAATACTTTGATCTTAAATTTGAAAATAACCTGCTGGTGGTAAAAATAAGTTCCGATAGAGAACTATGAATTAATCATTCATTTTATTTATTCAACTAATGTTTCATTACTAATGATAAAGGATTTATAAGTGACAAGCTGGCTATATTCTTAGGCATTAATAATGCAACAAGAATTCACTGATGCATACATAGATTTAAGCAAGTAAAACTGTGGTGTGGTTAGCTTTGTGCACATGCAGGCTTGCCTAACAAAGCAGAAGAAGATAGATAAATGAACTTCAGACTACAGTTTTCCTGGAGTATAAATTGTAATGCATTCATTGCCTTATATACAAATTCTCTTTCAAATGCCTTGGGGCAACCACAAATTAGAATCAGTCTAACATTTAAAAAATAAAAAAAGCATTATTGCTAATTTATCATTATTTTCAAATAGTACAGTTTCCCACATTTAAACTTATTAAAAGTTCATCCACTTAAAAGCATAAACATTTTGAACCATTTGAAAAATGTCATTTAACAATTAGCTGGTGAATAAATCTGCAAATAATAGCAAACTATCCTAATCTCTTAAAATTAGATTAATATTTTAATTGTAATACTAGTTAATTTTACTGTGCCAGGAAATCTGCCCAGTTTTCAAAAATAATGTCTGTTCTAGGGAGTCCACAATAAAGAAAATTCTCTATTCTTTCTTACAAGGTGTGTACTGGAAAAGGAGAAATGAGTGAAATAGAACAATCTACTTGGGAACTTATTTGATAGTTTATATTTTAAAAATAGGAAACTGAATTCAATCCAGATCTGAAGATCTGGACCATCAAATGCATAAACAAGCATACATCTATATGAACTAGCATCAAAAAGTTTGTGGAAAACTTCCATTATCTTTTAATTTGATTCTTCCACAAACTTTCTGAAGCCCCCTCATATTTACACTGAAACCCAGAATACTAAATTTTAATAAATACTTGAGAGCATGACATTTTAAGACTATAATATTTAAGACTATAAAATATGTTTTAAATTTTTCTAAAATGTTATACATTTTTTAAAAATCAGTTATAAAAAATTTAAAGCCTGCTCTTAAGGTAATACACAGCTATGAAGTGAAGTACAGAAAAGAGAAATCAAAACCTCTTCCCTCAAAAAAAAAAAAAAAAGTCAAAACTGACAAACACCATAGGCTAGGCCCCTCATTGTCTTCTACTCTGTGAGGCTCTGATACCAACAGCACACATGTCTTTATCAAGTAATTCAGACACATTCGATTATTAAATCATCTGACGGTGTGAAATTGTGTGGTAAAGAAAAGATATCTTTCTTATTTTTCTGGCAGGAAAAGCCAAATAAAAAGTAAGATAAAATAAGAGGCAAGAAAGACAAGACAAGACTGCAATAGGAATCCGGAGGTAAAAATGTGCTCCTCTGGTAAATCTTTCTGCAGACTGCAAGCAGTACTCCACGTGCCTGGCGACTGTGGAAGGAAAATGAAAAAGGATAATACTTGGAGCAAGACACTCTGATACGTATAAGAAGTCCCAGACTGAACTTTGAAGATTTCTGTCCTGAAGCAAATAATCTAGGTGCACTCCGCTTCAATCCAGCGCCAAACACTTAAGACAGAATCTGTCAATGGGCATCATCTCCCACATGTTTTCCTCCACATTTCCCTACATAAGGCAAAACAATGAAGGCAGAATTGATGTTCTTGGATTCCCTGCGATAACTGTGCGTTTGTCCACGATCTCAGATTCCAAAATTTTCTTGATGCCGACCAACCGCAGAAAAATTGTAAAGTTGCCTGGACAGGTCAGAGGCAAAGGGCTGCTGCAGCACTTTCAAACCTTCTTGTGTGAGAGGAAGGGGGTGGGGAAGTTACC